TTTTCTCAAAAGTTTGGTGGAATTTTACAGTGAAATCACATAGGCCTGGAGATTTTTTGAGGGGAATATTTAATTACTAATTCAATTTCCTTAGTAGTTATAGAGCTAGTCACACTATCCATTTTATATTGGGTGAGTTGTGATAGTTTGTGTTTTTCAAAGAATTGGTCCATTTTATCTAAGTTGTGTAATTTATGTATATAGAGTTGTTCACCATAATCCTTTATTATTCCTTTGATGTCTGCAGGCTTGATAGTGATATCCCTTATTTCATTACTGACATTGGTAATTTATGTCTCCTCTTTTTTTTCTCTTTGTTAGTCTTGCTAGAGGTTTATCAATTTGTAAAATATTTTCAAAAAGTCACTTCATTACCACTGGGCTTTCTGTGGACAGTACTCCAACTGAGGTGCTGGGGCACTTTGTTGCAATTATATCAGGATGTAAGTCTTGGATCCTAATTAGGCCTTTGCTGGTGGGGATGCGGCCATAGGTGTTTTTTTTAACTTTATTTATTTTGAGAGAGACAGAGAGTGCTAGTGGGGGAGGGGCAGAGACAGAATTTCAAGCAGGCTTCATACTGTCAGTGCAGAGCCCTACAAGGGGTTCAAACTCACAAACCGTGAGATCATGATCTGAGCCAAAATCAAGAGTCAGACACTTAACCAACTGAGCCACCCAGGCGACCCTGGGGCCATAGTTTTACTTGTGATGTTTGGCTAAAGTAGAGCAGTTACTGTCTAAAAGTTTTCTATCTTTCTAAGTTGCCTCTCTCCTGGCCCTTTGGCTCGTCAAAGTAGGCTTTTGTTGGGGCTTTTTATTTCTGGGCCTGTTAAAATTCCTGGGTTGCTAGCTTCTTCAGCTTCAAGTCCAGGATATACGAGGCAAAAAGAAAACCCACTGCTCTGGGAACTCACTGCTGTGTAGTTCCTTTGATCTGGAAGCACTTGCCCATCTTTTTCTCTCTACCTTTCAGAGTCTTTTTATGTTTGTTTTATAATGTTCAAGGTTTTTCTTGAACTGAATGGGAAGAATAGGTAAAAGTATATCTATTCAATCTTCTTGGAAGCAGAAGTCCCATGAAACCCTACTGTAAGTTACTTTCTAGGAGATGTTTTATTTTGTTTTTAAATTAGAAAGTAACTTGAATTAGATAAAATGTCTTTTTAGCCTCTATTGATATAATGTGCTTTCCTGATTGTATCTACAAATATGAGAATATAAACAGCTTTATTTAAACTTATGTAGTGAGGGGCACCTGGGTGGCTTAGTCAGTTAAGCATCCGACTTCAGCTCAGGTCATGATCTTGCAGTCTGTGACTTCAAGCCCCACACTGGGCTCTGAGATGGCAGCTGAAACCTGCTTTGGATTCTGTGTCTCCTTCTCTCTCTGCTCCTCCCCTGCTTGCATTCTGTCTCTTTCTCTCTCTCAAAAATAAATAAACATTTTTTTAAAAAAATAATAATAATAAGCTTGTGTGGTGAGTGTTAGGTAGTTGTTTACCCCTATCCCCAAGCATACAGCAAAGGTTATAGACTGAAGCAACTGGAGGGGCCTGGCAGGTAAAGTTAATGAGAAATGCTTTCCAGGGTTTTTCCAAGATTCACAGAAATGGGTACCTATTGCTTCCTGATCTTTGTTTTTTGTTCCAGAGAGACCAAAAAAATAAGAATTTCTATGGAAAATGTTCCAATTTTTAAATGTTGACATCTAATTCATGAATATTGTTAATATATGGGTCAGACTAAACATACTATGGACCTGATTCAGTAAATGGCTGCCATTTTGTAACTTCTGAAACAGGGATACTAACGAGTCAAAATAAGGCTTCCTTTCCTCTTAAACTAGAAACAGATTGCCTAGGGGGAATGTAAAGAGGACTTAAAAGCTGAGTGTGTCCTTTATAAAGGAAGATAGCTTATCTTCCCCCTCCAGCTCTGGGACAAACTTCAGAGGACACAGTAAAAGAAATTCCAGATGGTTTGGGGGGGGGATTCAAATGCAGAAATCTGTATTAATTCTTTCCTAGAGCTCAGACCCACATCACAAATGAGAATTTGTTTGGCTCAGTGTGATGCAGGGGTTTCATGTTGTGAATTGGCAGATTGAACTGAGATTGCCTCACATAGGGGATGGGAGTGTGCCTGAGTTTATTTTGTTGTGACAGCACAGAGTAACAGAATCAATTTCTAGGAGGCCAAGAGGGTCACAGAAGTTGAAACTCAGCTGTATTGAAGGAATCTTTTAGATGGGAATGAAGGATTATACATCAGGTTTTATAAAGGTTCATAAAAGGTTGTGGCTTCAGTTATAAAATCAGTTACATTTCCTTGACCTCATGAATTTATGGAGCAAAAATTGTACCTTCTACACTATCTTTTTCTTTTTAGGTTTATTTATTTTGAGAGAGCACGCACGCATGCACAAGTATGCATGCAAATGGGAGAGGGACAGAGAGAGAGAATCCCAAGCAAGCTCCTCACTCCTAGCACAGAGCCTACTGTGGGGCTTGAACCCACAAACCGAGAGATCATAACCTGAGTCAAAATCAAGAGTCAGACACCTAACTGACGGAGCGACCCAGACGCCCCTACACTATCTTTTCTAGTATAAATTCCATCAGATCCTTGGGATTTAATGTGTAGTTATTATTTTCAAATCATTTTTTCATTACAACTTCAATTTTTTTCTTGACACAATAGTTACCTCCACCATCCCAGGTTTTATTTAGAATTTATTTTTATTTTTGTATGTTTGTTTATTTTGAAAGATAGAGTGCAGGAAGGCAGAGAGAGAGAGAGAAAGAGAATCCCAAGTAGGCTCTGCACTATCAGCGAAGAGCCTGATGCAGGCTTGGACTCATGAACCATGAGATCATGACCTGAGCCAAAACCAAGAGTCAGACGCTTAACGGACTGAGCCACTCTGGCGCCCCTTTATTTAGAATTTAAAAGTGCCTTTTCTTTTTTTTTAATTAAAAAGCATTTTTTTTAATGTTTATTTTTGAGAGACAGAGCACGAGCAGGGA